TCGCTTGCGCTGGTCAACTTGACGGCACTCATGACATAATCTGCCGTGCGCCTCAAGCCTGTTTCTTGTCAGACGCTGCATGTACGTATGCATGTATGTACGTATGCAGCAACAGAAGCCTTCTCGAACCACGTTTTTCGGCGCTAGACTTGGATTGAGGGTACACAGCAGCCATCTTGCAGCGTTGTCAGGGGTATTGCGCGACGCAAAGGCTTTGAAAAATGTTGCTGCCACCCATTTGGACGCACGCCGGAGGCTTGACGTGATGGGAATCAAACAGAGTGTGGGCTGTCTTCATAAGCGAATGGATATGTGCGGTACAGAGTAATTTACACGCGATTTTCATGAACGGATAGAGGAGACCCCAGACGCAAGGACCAGGAGAAATAAGAGACGACGGCATGATGGCGCTGGCGAACCAGAGGTGACCCTGGTCTATGTTTGTGGGTTTTCATTTGTCTGTTGATTCTGCGTACTCTATTGGTGTGCGGCCCGGTCGCAGGCTGTCCGTACTCCGTACTACTGCAGATATGCCATGGCGGGATATTTGGAGCACGACACCGGAGCAAAGTCCGCGGTAGACTTGCAGCGGACTCTCCAAGTCGAGACCAACGTGGGACAGCGACTCAATTTATGCCCTGCATGCCGATCAATGTTGGTTCATGGCAACAATGGAGAGGCCAACCAGCCATGTGCAGCAACCGACGAGATGAAGACTCGAACGGACACAGGGCCGTGATTTTGGCATTACTATTAAACTTTGCCCAATCTCTAGTATGCATAAGAGGGATCCAATCGTTATGTCCGGATCCGGAGCGCGAACAGGATTGGCCCTGGGGAGGGAAGGAGCCAATGGCGTCATTGCCTGGTGACAAATCAACTGCCGTCGGTTGCTGATGAATCTTCCCATGACGCGATTGCAAAAGAAACCAATTCACTCGGCTGAGACGTCAATTGCAGTAGATTGCAGCCCAAACATTGCTCTCGTCGCCATTGCTTGCTTTGATATATAGCTGCTGCGGTTTTGTTCTCCTCGGACACTCAATCGCGCTCACGATTATCTTGTCACTCAGCCACCACTGCCGCCAATTCCCAAAGATCGCTGTCAAACCCACCTCGCACACAGCACCGTCTACTTATCGATCGCTCGAATCCTTCGGCCAACGACCCACGCATCAACCCTGCTGTCCTGCGAGTGCCTCGATACGGATATCGCTCTGACCAGGCCAACTAATAGAACGACGACAAGCCAGTGACTCGGACGACTTTTGTGGCAGCCGCCAGCACCGCCAGCAGCATCATCAGCACCCCCCCATAATAATAATATGGCGCGCCCAACTGGTCTCATTGCCTCCAAGGGCATTGAACTACTCACCTGGAGTACGTCATTCCTGTAGCATTGTCCTTGCGTTGGTTATTTTTATTTTCACCCTGTTCTCTGGCGGCCCATTTTGCCCAACATGGCATCTCTTACATGCATCCTGGCCCACCGACTCCAACACCACGCACATGACATGGACAGGAATAGTCTTGGGCCATCTACACACCCCTCTCTTTTCATTTCCGCCATTTCGCCTCGTTTGGTTCAGCTCAAGGGCAAATTGTACGAGGCAGCTCTTGTGAATGGCGCACCCTGCGAAATGGGATCTGCGCTCGCGTCTTTTCGCTTGTTTGGAAGACGGCTACGTGGACAACGGGCAGCAGAGTTTAGACTGTCTGCTTTCGCCACAGCATCGTGCATCGCGAGCGTTATTGATATCGCTCGGCTGTTGCCCCCTTGGGTCCCCTTTTCCCCTTTGACAAAAAGACCCTGTGGCCATTAGCTTCTTGAAAGTCGGCCGATGAAACCGCCTGGCAGCCCCCATTCCTACGTCCCATGCGCCTTGGATCTGTTGGCTCTGGCTTCCTCGTGGCTATGCATGCAAGAGCAACTAGAGCCAACAAACAGGCCAACGGGGTCTCGCTTCCGGCTGTCGCTCAACGACGAGCGAGATGAGCTGCCACTCACTCCCTGTGGGATGTCAAGTTTGGCGCTTCGTAGAGCTCTTCTCCATTCCTATCTTGTACTCCCGTGTCCCCCACAGCAAGTGCAGATGAGGCAGGCGAGGTACAGGGAGGAGGAAAACCCCGTCAGCCTCTAGGATGCTTTCACACACACACACATAAGACATGTAGGATGGTGGCGTCCAAGAGTTGGAGGAGCAATAGGAATTTCACCTTCACCCCTCACATTTGAGATGTTCAGAGTGCTGACTTTGTCCACCTCGACCACGTGTAGGCACTCCCAACGGATACAAGGCTAGCATCCTCCTTGAAGAGTTGAAGGAGGCCTATGGGCTTCAGTATACATTCCAGGGTATCAACATCGGCCAGAATATTCAAAAGGAGCCGTGGTTCACGGCCATTAACCCGAATGGTCGCATTCCCGCCATTGTCGACCATGACCACGGCGACTTGGCTGTTTTTGAGGGCAATGCAATCTTGTCGTACCTGTCTCGCCGATATGATACGGAGAGACTCTTCTCGTTTGCCCCAGACGATGATGACTATACACGCGCAGAGTCTTGGATAGGCTGGCAGCACGGTGGCCTGGGTCCCATGCAGGGGCAAGCCAACCACTTTGTACGAGCCGCCAAGGAGAAGATTGCCTACGGAATGCAGCGCTATGTTGGTGAAACGGAACGGCTGTACGGCATCCTCGACGCTCGCCTCAGGGACCGGGACTTCGTCGTAGGTCCGGGACGGGGCAAGTATAGCATCGCCGACATTGCTCTCTTGGGGTGGGTCAACGCCGTCCGAGGCACAACCATTTCCATTGACCAGTTCCCGTCCATCAAGGCATGGCTGGCACGTTGCTGGGAGCGTCCCGCGGTACAGAGGGGCTTCCAGGTTCCCTCTGCACCGGCGTCCTCAGCCCTCACGCCCCAAGTAGGCGAGGCTGCCGAACAGGCAAAGCAGCTCAAGCAATTGGTTGATGAGGCCAAGAAGCAATACGGCTATGTTTATTCGTCGCCATGAAGAAATGGTAACATTGATGACGAATCATTAGCCATCGTGACCAACGGGGCGTCCGCCCCCTCCCCACACTCAAGTTTACAAGGGGAACCTTTTTCAAGTACATACATACATAGATGGTAGTAGGTTAGGGTGTTGTATAATGAAGAACAATCTGTTTGGTTCGCCCAAGGCCGGATTCATCAAAGTAGACTTGCGTGGATGCCGCGTACGTAGTCGAATGGCACGATGCCCTAAGCTTTCTGACGGAAAAGCTAACTTTCCCCCTGCCTTGTTTCCTATAGGCAGGCAGGCGTAGCACTGGGGACGGTTGAGCGGCAGATGACCGAGACGCCGGCGAGGGAACCCCCAGACGTTTTGGCATTTCTTGACAAGTCTAGAACTCGTAGAATCCCGGTCACATCGTGGCCACAGGGCTGATGGGGGGGCGTGCAAAGTATCTCTGGTCGTATGAGTAAGAAGGTTATTATACTACCACGTTTTGTACACATGGGGGGTAGGGGGGAATCTCACGTCAAAAAGCGGCAGGAAAACCTACAATTCGCCAGCCACATGTGCAAAGGGGGAGGGGGGGCGGAAACCTAGGACCAGACTGTTTTCCAGTTTCAAACACCACGCGGCGAAATCCACGTCCGTCTGGGCATGGCAACTCGGCAGAGACACGAAGTAGAAGGCCGCGGAGGGGCAAACGCACAGAATGTGAAACGGAGGATTTCACTGTTTCGTGGGGCGGCGGTGCGGCCGCTGACGCAGGACTTTTGACTTTTGGGAAGGGGAATGCGAGCCGCCAGACGTCAACTCGTTTTCGATTGATAACCCGGTTTGTATGTAGCCCGCTGTAGATGCTTGCTTTCGGGGCTCTGGATGCGTACCTCGTACATACATGCCTACCTAAAGTTGGATGGGTATCCAGGATAGCTGGAAGCAGCTGCTCGGTGCTCCTGGTGAGACGTGGGACGGGAGAGTTTCCCCATCGTGACATGGTCCAAAGCGAGCTTCTTTGCAGCGAGCCACAAGAGGTCATGAGTGGTGCGCAAAGCATAGATTCGTGCGTACGTGCGTGCGTGTCTCGTTGGCTGCGGTTCCTCGTACCAGACGTGGGAACATATTCCCATGACAGACGGTAGCTGGACAGTCTTGTTCTTCAGTCACAATGTATACTCCAACACTCGAGACGGCTGCTCATCTACTACTCTCCTTACGGGTGCAAATACAAATACATTCCGTCAAGCCTAACTTGAATATACACAATGCCCGTCGCAATCCACAATTGCTACTCGTCTCCGACCCGTATCCTCTGATAGATGCCTGAATGGAGAGCAAAAAACACCAGGCGCAAGCCCAAATGTCCCCCTTATCCTCCTTCCAAACGCCCAAAACTCCGTCCTCCGCCCTTTCCATAAAAATAAGCCGTATTCTCAGCACCAAGTAGAAGAGACGAATGGAACAAGCCGTGGCACGAAAACCACAGTCAAATTGCTCGGCTCATACTCTGATACCTGCCCTTTGCCACCCAGAGTTTGCCCATTATACACGTTCAAACCACGACTCCAATTCCATAAAATCATGGCCAAACCCAAAGTTGCCCGGAGGCCTGCAAAAAGCGTTCTCAAGTGCCACGTAATCCCAGTTCCCTGCAAGCAACCTCTCCTTGGCGGAAAGAAGCACCAATTATACCATGAAAGTAATGGCAGCCAATGCGTATAAACAATGCCACATGCTTTTCTCCTGTGACGTCCTTTTGTTTTCTTGCATGACACAAGTCTCTCTTGTGCAAATGCTCCAAATATATAATACCAGCGAAGAAAACCACTCATTCGCCCATGGATCTCGGTAAAAAAAACCTGCCTTCCCTGAAATTCGCCGTGACAAATGCAGATTGGTCGTTTCTTGTGTTACAAATGCCTCATGAAAGATATCTTTGTGCATTTTTTTTTCAACTCGACGTGCTTTTCTTTCAGTTCAATCTCATCTTGACTCGTCCTTCACATGTTGGAAACGCCTTGCGAGTTGTCCACGACGTTGTCAGACAAATTGATAAGGAGCTGAGCAAGGCATCTCTTAGTTGCAGCGTCATCTCTTAAAACAGACGAGAAGGTAGCATCTCGCAGAGGTTCTGGTAGGCATTGGCGAAGAGCCTCACGAGCTCGGGCGTTGTCGCTAAGTCTACATTCGCGCCACAGTTAGTCAACAGCACTTTGTGAAATACTGGTGATTTGATGCGTCACTCACCTAAGAAAGCATCGGACGACGTGCTTGAGGAGCCGTGCAGTCTGGGACTCGACAAGCTGAGCGACCATGTTGCTCAGCACAGTGCCTACAGCATAGAAGCGCTCGTAGGTGGCGCAGATATAATTGAGGCCGTTATCGTCCAGCAGAATCTTCTGAACAATAAAAATGGCAACAGTCTTACTAAGCTCTGAGCCAGTCTCCATGATCCGAAGGCACAGAGGAATAATCTCCGTTGTGAGGAGAAAATTGATAACGTCCGAAGAGTCGTTCTTCACCAACGCACCAATAACACCCAGGGAAGTTAGTCGCAGGTATTCAAACGGCCGGGACTTGGATGTCGTGTTTAGAAATGGGTACAAGAACAGAGGGATATGCGCTACAGTCCGCCTTGTCAGCTTCATTATTCAACACTGTGGCCCTCCTGGAAGCCGTGGACTGACCGTTCAGAAACAAGGTCCGGGTATCATTATGCGACGCAACACACTGGAGTAGTGCCAAGGCGTTGCAAACGCGGTTTGACGCAGCAGCTGTGAGCTGCGAAGGGTTGAGAAGCGTGTAGACGGAAATTATTTCCTGTAAAAGAGAGGTCATAACCCCTAAAGCAACCAAATCCGTTAGCTTGAACTATCATTTTCGACTCACGGGCATCCGTCATTTCAGCCTTGGACAAATGCTCACCGAATGAGTGCCACAAAATCAGAGCTAGTTCAGGCACCTGTTCTCTCTTCTTGCTCAGCTCTAGCAAAGCTGCCTCCCTCGTGTTCTCGTTTAATAAATCGGCAATGTACGCCATCGTGCGCCGATTATCCTCCGAGATGTTCTCATGGCCGGAATCCTGGGCATGAGCGCCTCCCATATTGCCACCAGTGCCACCGGCAGAATGATTACCAGCCATGCGGTTGAAGTGCGATTGCTGTTGCTGAACCTGTTGTTGCTGTTGCTGTTGTTGTTGTTGTTGCTGCTGCTGCTGCTGCTGTTGTTGTTGTTGTTGAGCAACAGACACATGGTTCTGCTGGTGGTGCGACGCCTGCTGGTGCATCCAGCTAGAGTCGCCTTGTGGATTGTATTGGGGGTGCGTATAAACGTGCGTCGAAGACATCATCTTGGGCAAGAGGGCGAAGTTGAGACGGGTATATCTTTTCAAAATCAATCTCTCGCTTCGGAATGGGGTCGAAGAAAAATGCCGGATATCGCGCGTAGAGTTATCGGGTCAGGAAGCTCCGGGGGGGGGCAGAGCTTACTGCGGCACCAGAGATATGATGGCGCTTGCAGCGACTTGTCAGAGGCTCGGAAAAGGTGTGTTCAAGACGATCCCGCTGGTCTCACGCAGACAAGTTTGTGTGTTGTGGACGGAAGGGCGAGAGAGCTATTTGCTGAGACCAGCAAGAGGGCGAGGGCAGCTCAATGCGCGTCTGGGTCGTGCAACAGGTTGCACAGTGGGGAGACACAGAAATAGTTGAAAGGGCAGAAGAGTAACGACTCGCTATGCGAATGCAGATGCGACAATAGGCTTGGCAGGCTTGGAGACGTCGTGGTTGTTGAAGGGTTGCTGTGATGTGGTGGTGTCTTCGTGCTCGGACTGCGCCCGCTCCACCGCCTTGAGTCTTTTGACCTGGTTGAGGCTCCGCTTCATGGCCGAGCCGATTGAGCAGCACAAGCCACGAGCCAAAGCCGTTCCTGCCTGGCGCCTGCCCGAGGGCGACGACAACCTGCCCTCCCGCGCACGGATCAGGAAGAACTGCCGTCCCTGGCCAATCAACAGTCAGATCTGGGGAAATCTTGCTCAGCCTCGCCATGTTCCTCAGCCTGACGCAGCCCAATGCAGGCCGTGCATTCTGAGGTTCTGACAGCACGAGCATGCTGGGGCCGTCTTGTGCTGCGACCGGCCAAGAGTCCAACACCAAAATGCATGATGGAGACTTGTGAGTCGTCGAGGGACTTCGGAGCAGGCTCCATGCGTTGCTATCCACCGCGTAGAACTCGCCAGGCTACCCTGTACTTTGGACTAGTACGCACTACTTTGGCCCGGGCTCGGGAAAATTCACGTCTTGCATCATCCATCAATTGATGCTGTCCCACCATTTCCCCTTGTGCGTTTGGCCATGTAGTCTGGTCCAGGTTTCCCAGCCAATGTCGTTGACAACCTCTCCTGAACCCCGAGCCGGGCAACGAACCGCCGTTCAACCAACTCACCCATCACACATATGCATACAGAGGCACATCAACCCGGGACACAAGCTCATACCAGCACCCAATCAACTGCTGTGTCATTACCTATGTATCTGCCTCTCCTATTTAACTACCATATATGCTATCTGAATAAAACCCGCAACCAAAAAATCCCACCCTAGAACCCGTCTAGCTCTAGGGTGCCAAAAATATGCTCTCACTCCAAATGTTGTCTAGAGTGCTCTCAGAATCCTGCCATTCAACGGAGAAGGAGGAGGAGGAGGGGAGTAAAGAATATTACACAATGAATGAATTGTTTGAAACGCTTAATATGCCCTTATACAAACACGATGCTTGTATTGTTGTTTGTGGATGGTTTTACGGCCCGGCACCACGCTGTCATGGCCCAAAGAAAATAGAACCTGTGTGTCTGGTACCCAAGCTACTACTCATCGGCTCACCATCTTCACTCGTCCTGCTATCAAGCCGTGAGAAGCAACATAACAAAACAGTGATTTGTGTGCTCAGCAGACTTGCACCCCCCCCAAATCAATAAACGCCCGAATGGTGCGACATGATGGTCTCAATCAGAAGATAGCACTTCTCACTTCGGGAGGCGACTTTGGAGGATCTAGAGCCGCAGGTCTCGTAGTATCTGGTCTGCCATGTTCTTGAACTGCCACGTGTTGCCTGTCATCCGCTTGAATTGGATTCCGTGCAGTGACAGGAGAGGTACTTTGACAATGAAGATTTCAAATTCTAGGACCATGCTCTCGCCAAGGTCACTTTGGACTTGGGTGCTCGTTTCGCCTGGTGCTCGCCTCGTAGTGCCGCCATTCCGTCGAGGGATGCTATCCACTGACGTCTCCGAGTTGGAGTAGCTGCGGTCGCGATCAGAACGATCCCGATCAGAGCGGTCTCTCTCTCTCTCTGGTCGATCACGGTCTGGTCGACCGGGAGTTCGAGGAGTCGGTGGTTGGCGTTGTTCTCGGTCCAGCTCTCGAATCTCTTCTCGATCATCGTTTCGCATCAAGCCACCGAAGCTGAAGCGACGTCGGTGGCCTGGAGTTTGACCAGGGCTGGTGGGATGGTCATGCACCTTGTTCAAATCGATGCTTGGCGTGTGTCGGCAGGAAAAGCCTCCTTTGATCTCTGTGAATTCAACATTCAATTGTTTGAGAACGCGCTTAATATCTGTTCGAATTGCCGGTACGGATTTGCCAGAGGTTGTTGATACACTGAATAACCCCTTCAGGAACACTGGCTTGGCCAATTCAGCGCTGTCAAGTCGATCTGTGGATACGCCACTTTGATCTGGTTCATAGTCCGTCTCCTCAGGCACGTCAGCTTCCTGAAGTCCTTCGCGTCTCAGGCGACGACGTTGTATGCTCTCTCGGCGGGCATGACCCAATGATTTAGTCCGCATTGAAGCCGATCTGGAGTGAGCGTGGGCTCTCTGAGACGTCCCTGATTGATCATTTGACACAGACTGTTCAGAGCCACTGGTAGCGGCGGCCTCCTTGGGTAATCTGCCGCCCTGGCGACGACGCATTTCCGCTGAATTAACACTAGTAGAGCGTCCTAAACCTGATCTTCGGCTGTCCCTCGTGCCATGAGCGGACAATGGGGGGCTGAGTAGCGCACTGTGCTGAGGTTGGCTGCTTCCTGATCGAATCGGCGGGACTGGTGGTTCATCACGGTCCCGCCTACCGCGGCGAATGCTGAAGCTCTTCTTGGGAGTGGCGGGTGATGGTGCTGGATCAGACGGAGAGTGAACTTGCACCATGGGAGGATGAGAACGATCCTTGTCCAGTCTCTCGGGTTCTCGTCGCTTCCGAGTGCTGAACCTTCGAAGCAGTCCCGCCGCAGTGCCTTCTTTCTTTTGCAGCTGTTCGACCTTGGTTTCCGGCGCAGGAGGAGGTGGTGGATGCCCATGCGGTCTCGCTGACTCTGGTGCATCGTCTTCGCCATGAGTGCGGGCACGGGGCCTTGTCCGTCCCCCAGTGGGCCTTTCGCCAGGCATCTCATATGTAGTTGCATTGGTATGAGCAGCCTGAGGCGGCGCAAGCTCTGGCATAGTGTCGGCACCCTTTTCACGTTCTCGATAATCTCGATCTCGATGATCTCGATCCCTTTCATTCTCCCTCTCCCTCTCCCTCTCCCGCTCCCGCTCCCGCTCCCGAGTTCTCTCCCTCTCCCTCTCTTTTTCTTTCTCATGTGAGCCGCTTGACGTGATAGGGACTTGCTGAGCTGCCTCACGGTCGTGCTTCTCCTTGACAAGATAATATATAGAGAGCAGCGGACTAAAGGCGTAGAGAGGATCGTGTCCTAGCTGCAAGGTATCGCTGCTTGGACCGGTCAAAGTGTCTCTGCTATTGGAAGAATTTCGTCTCTTGTAGAAATCGAACCCAAAGCCTCTCTTCTTTTCGGCGTCTTTTGCAGGAGGAGGAGCCTCTCGTTCTCGTTGGTACATCTTGACAGCATGTTGGTAGTCCTCGGAGTCAATCATTTTGCTTAGTTGAGCTCGTATAGTTTCAGGAGAGCCAAAGCTGAATCCTTGCATGCCGTGGATAACTTCCGGATCCAAGGGATGCACTAGTGGTTCGCGGACAGGAAGATAATTGTCAGGAGGTCCATTGAAGCCCTTTGTCATCCAAGGATGGTTCATGACTTCTTGCATTGTAGCACGTTGCTTAGGATCGGTCACCAGCATGCGGGACATGAGGTGTTTACATTCTAGGGAAGAGTCAGCGAATTTGACAACCTTGTTGGACATGCCGCAAGGCACATTCGCGCATATACAAATATATATATATATGTATAGGTATGCATGGGGCACAACTGATCACTCACCGCTCGAAAGCCAGCTAGGGTAATCTACTAAACCCTTCTTAATTTTGGCATGAAGAGCTGGCATGCTCTGGTCGTCGAATGGCACCTTACCACAGACGAGGACGTAAAGCACAATGCCAAAGCTCCATACATCAACCTCTGGACCTGTGTATGCTCTAGCCTGCAGGAGCTCAGGAGCAGCAAAATAAAGACTGCCGCAAAAGGTCTTGAGGTGGCCCCGAGGCGAGAAGAGATTGCTGAGACCAAAATCAATGATTTTAATATCACCAGTTTTACTAATTAATATGTTTTCGATTTTGAGGTCGCGGTGTACGATGCTATTTCGGTGGCAGTAGTCTAGTGCACTGGCGATTTGGCGACTGAACTTTCGAGCTTGTTTTTCCTTGAGCTTGCCGTGCGAGATGATGTAGTCGAGCATCTGGCCGCCATTGACATACTCGAACAGCATGTACCAGTGGTAGTTGGTGCGGACCCAATCTCTCATGCCGCAAATGTGGGGATGATTGAGGAGAGAGACAATAGAAGCCTCGCGGGCGGTTCGAATCTCCTTGGACTGGTCGGCTCGCTCCTTGTCCGCACGATTCTGATGTTCTTCGGTCGAGCCTCGAGGGACTATTTTGCAAGCAACCTGTAAAGGGGACAAGACAAGGCGGTCAGAGCATTGCGATACAAAAGAGGGGGGGTCGATTGGTGGATGCCCAAACGGGCGCATCCAACGACAAGGCGAGACAGCCGAGGAACATTTATTCGGGGAGGAGCAGACAGAGGAGGAAATCGACAGAAAACATGGGAAACTATGGAAAGAAGGGGACGTCATGACGAACCTGTTCGCTGCCATCTTCCTTGCGGGCAAGCTTGACTTTGCCCATGCTGCCTGCGCCGATTGTCTTGCCAAGAATCCATTTCCCCGATTGGGCGGGAATAGTAGTGCGTGACCGGGTCTGTTTGCTGGCAGAGTGTGACTGATGGTGAGGGTCGGAGGCGCCATGGGAGGAAGGGGGAGCAGAAGGACTGCCATTGTTGGTAGCGACGGCGGAGGGAGCCATGTCGCTCGAGGGATAGGGTTGGTGATGGTGTCGT